GGTTTTTAGGGTTTAGGGATTTTGGGTTGAATTTTTGTGGTGGTGGGGTTAGTCTGTCCTGCATCCATAAACACGGCACTGGATTGAGTGCATCTGTCCTAGACTCTGGCAGTCCGGTTTACCGTCAAATGGGGTTTGTGGCGTGGTTTAGGGTTTAGAGTTTAGAGTCTAGGGTTTAGGGTGTGATGTTGCTTGTGGCACCTGCCTGCAGCACTTGGCATATGTAGCTATGCTCGTTATTTTGCAGATGTTGGTTGAACTGATGCGGCTATCTACCATTTAATTTCTGGTTGCAGGAGTTTCTGCTGGTGCTACTGCCAGTGTTGCCACTGTTGGCAACGCACAAACATACCCTGAATATTCACTGTTGTTCCCTTGCGGTACTCACATTGCTGTTGCTTGTTTCGTTGCCGCTGCTGCGGCTCTCTTTATCCTGTCTGAAGTTATCGTGTGCTATCTTGGCTACTCGCGCCATTGCATGTATTTCAGTAGTCTTACGACATTGCCTCTGTAGCTACCGTCTAGTGCTATACTGGTAGGAAGGACTGTGCATATCATTCGTCATTGATGTATTCTGACGGTAACTATAAGCTCGTAGTGCTTATATCCAATATCCCAAGCCTTAAACCCTCTGCCCTCAACTCTCCCTGTTGTAGAGAGCCGATTGCATCCGAAGAACCCCCTTTGCCCTGCTCTTTCTGCATGGTGATGTTATCCAAGTCCATTGGGATCTCGATGCGCCTTGAGCCACCGTCCTCAGAGCAGGTTGACCCCTCAAAACTGAAAGGGTTGAAGGTTCAGTTAGCTGAGGCTTCTATGACAGAGGGACCTATATGGGCTGAGGAGAATTTGTGCAAGGACCCCTTTTGCCATCCATCCAGCCAAAAGATGCAGAGAAACCTCGAGAAGGTTTCGGCGCTCACGCTCGGACAATCCGGGCGAGCAGGGTTTTTGGTCTAGGTTTTAGGACTCGGGCTTTTAGTAAATCTTGGGATTCTGGTCGTATCGTTCAGTGTGATCAAGACTATTTCCGTCCAGCGGCATCCAACGTAGGCATGGTCACCACTGTGCCCACCTGGCCCAACTTGTTGTTGATTTGCTGCTGAAGCCTTGCGATCTGTGTCGTGACCTGAGTCGGAAGGCACAACCCTGGCAGATAGAAAAGGCTTCTGGTGAGTTGATCAATTGAACATTATATATTGTATTATAGTATAGACTATGATTACTGCATAAAAGTATAAATACTCTAATAGGTAGGCAGATAGGTAGGTACGTAGGTCGGTATAGGTACAGTGGGTAGGTAGGTAGGTAGGTAGGTAGGTAGGTAGGTAGGTAGGTTTGTTTTTCCCTCTCGCATGGCTAAGGATCAATGCCCACAAGCGAGGTAGGACTTGTAGGTAGGTAGGTAGGTAGGTAGGTAGGTAGGTAGGTAGGTAGGTAGGTAGGTAGGTAGGTAGGTAGGTAGGTATATGATAGTGTTTATTTATTTTTGTATAATTATTCATGTATTTATTAACTTATATCTGTTTTTGCATTACAAGTCATAATCACTTTACACAATATTTTACAATACATTACAGTCTAGCAACTTATTGCAATTTATGGTTGTCTCCTCCTTTGACGTGCATGCCACTGACGCCTTTCCCCTACTCTCGTCCAGGGACGTCGTCAATGACGTGCTGCACGTTCTGAAGCTGGCCGGACATGGTCGTCAAGAACTCCGTGGTCACGGGACTGTCCTCCACCCCCGAGCACGACTTCGGGTCTGTCGGCAATGCAACATGGGCCCCCATGATTTCAAGAGAGCTTGGGTAAAGTATGGTTTAATTATCAGAAGGCACCGTGAGGAAAAATCTTGCAATAACTTTACCTTCTATAGTTGCCCGGGGTAGCCAGGCTGCTCGTTTGATCTAGGCAAATGAGTTCGGTGGCTTCACTCTCCTCCATCATCTTGGTTTGGAGTTTATGGCTCTGGGTTTTTTGTTTAGGGTGCCACGGCCTTTCACACATCAGCACTGCAAGCCTGCCTCATAGAGGCACATACCAAGAAGAACGCCCCCAGAAAAGCTGAGGTAGAAAACACACCATTAGACTGGCACATCCCGTTTAGGGTTTACGACACCCTCAAGCAATCCTTGTTGACCAACCCTACAGGCTTTAGCGCGGGTCAGGCCTGAGAGGCTTGAGGTGGATGCCCCCACTCAAAACTGCGAAGGCGTAAAACCTAAAACACAAAACCCAGGAAGCTGTACAGCTGCAGTATTGAGGCGTTTGCCGCTGGGAGCTGAAACTCTCAGGCTCTAGGGTGCGGCTTCCTGCGATGACTCTCTGATCGATCCGGAGAGGCTTGCTGCAACAAAATTCAGCCTTCTCTCATGCAGACTTCATCCCTGAGCATTGCACTAAGCCGCGTTTACCCTCAAACCCTTGACCCTGAACCCCGAAACCCACACCCTCAACACCTCCATCAAGGGCTGCACCACGAAGGGCTTGGCGTCAGGACCCACTTTCGCAGTCATCATGTCGGCGCAGCAGACACTCATGGCCAAACCCTGACACGCCTAGGACACCTCCAAAGATGGACCCGATGCAGTTGCCTTTCTGACGTGCTTTGCAGGCAAAAAATCTCTGCTAGCCTGTGAACCAGCTCACGTCGCTTTCCGAGCCAGTTCGACCGACAATTGCGAGCAAACAGTTGCGACGACAAAGGGTGGAAAGGAGGCATGAGATGATACCACAGTAGATTACCGTGTGTTGCGACGTTTATTGTTGCATCCTTCTACCTTGTTACGAAAAACCTCACAAATCCATATTTATTTTCTTATTTATGTTTATACATGTATGACCAAGTCAAGCGGATGCAGCCGCCAGGCAGCGCACTTTTCTCTGGCGGGCAATCGTGCGCCTGGGCTGCCTACATCTGCCCTGCACATCTAATTGCCTTCCCCAGGGTTACTATAGGGGCCGCAATAATTAGAATAGGGTTTCCGGATGTACTATGTATGGAAGCCTAAGGAAAGACATCGGTAATTATTTAGGCCCCTATGTTACACCGTATTGCCGACCATTCCAGCGGCTTCGCAGGCGACCGAACTCTGCCGGCCTCTCCGCAAGCAGGCGACGTGCTTGTAAGGAGGGTTTAGGGTTTAGGGGGGCTGCAAAAACTGACAGACCTGCAGACGAGTTGCATTGTCATGTACGACATCCACGTACCGGCACTTGTCGTCCTTCCGGGCGCGAGTTGGGGTCCTAGATCTTTCATACGAGCTGCAGCTTCAGGCGCAGCCTCACCCAAGAAGCCCAGTAAAGCGTTGAAGTGCTCGACGTCGAAATCCTGCAGCTCAGGAAGCTTGCGACCGTGCCGGGTTTTCCACCACCCCTCCAAAAATTACCCTATAGAAACCCCAGACAACCCCCCCCCCCCCCCCCCCNNCCCCCCCCCCCCCCGCCCCCCGCCATCCGGCCCGAACAAGCACCAGCCTGACCTCCAAGTCCAAGCTGAAAGACCTGTCGCTGTGATGCTTTGCGAACTTGTCCATGGCCTGCAAACAGAGGGATGTCACTTCAAGAGGCCAGGCCGCAGGTTTAGCACTCTGGAGCTTAAGGCTCCACATGTCAGGTTTGGGGTTAGGATTGAGGCTTCAGGACCCGAACCTCAGGCAAGAATGTATTTGTCGGTTTCCTTGGTGACCTTTCGCCATCCCCTGATATGCTGAACCTACGGGACCTCTACATGTTCGTCTTGGGAGCTTGAACCGTTGTTTGCCAGCATGGCTGATACTGCTGCAGCTTGAAACACCAAGCATACGTAGAACGATCCCTTCCGTCCCCTTGCACAAGTTGCCACCACAATATCGATGACCGGCGGCATCAAAATAGTATGAAGCCCATGATCAGCGCAACTACCGTCACTGTAGTGTCGTCATCCTTATTGCCACCAATGCTCCGGCCACCATTCTGATTATCTATTGCTGCGCTGCCCTCGACACCGACAAGGCCTTGTTCGCGTGCTCCGTGGCATAGTAGTCCATGCTTCCAAACCTTGGGATTTCTGCAGACTGCTCCTCGAAGTGCTCTTCCAGATTCGGGCTTGGGGCTCAGCGGTGCGACTGGAAATGATTTTCTCATGAGGGTTTGGTTTAAGACCAAGGCAAGGACAAGAAAGTGGCAGTGTGCAGCAGGTGGTGCGAGTATTGATTAGCTTCACAAAAAGCGCGAGACGGCCTCGCAGTCTACAGGCTCTAATGCTACCGCCCCAAAAAACAAACCAAGGATGCCCAGTGCGCTTGAGCGCGCCTTGAAGTCTGCAAGCATATGCTTAATGCTGCGACCGGGTCAGGATTAGGACTTCGGGTTTAGATAATGCCAGCTTCCGAGCAGCACTTCTCCTTGGGAGAGAAGCTGATCATCGATGCTCCTTCTCTTGCTCAAGATCACCTGGCAGTTTGTCCAAGAAGAGAGCTCGGAGGTTACTTTTTTGCCCCTCGCACTCGATGGATCAGAGGTTACTTGAGGTTTCGTTAGGCCCTCTGGCTGGAACCCAAAACAAATCCTAAACAAAACCCTAAGCCCTGAACCTTCGTCACCTGTAAGCACGACTGACTTTCCGGGCTACAAAAGGCGGCTCCTAGGGCAACTTCAACCCAGGGGATGCTTTGATGCGCAGACAGCCACGGAAGCTTCAGAAACCCCCAAGGAGTCCTGCCTCCTAAGCCTTCAAAAGCGCCAACCCAAGCTCCAGGCTAGACCAAGCCTTCAAAAAGGCGACCTAAAGCCCCTAAGCCTTAATCCCTAAAGGCCCGCAGAGCGCCCTCATAGTAACCTTCTGGTACCCTTCATTGTACCCTGATGCGACCCTTGTCGAGCCCCACAAAACGAGATCCCACCACGGAGCCAGCCTTGGCGCAAGGAAAAGCCTGAAACAGCCGGGTACACTGGGGGGGGGGGGGTTTAGGGTTTACGGATACAGAGCTGCATAGAAGTTGCTTGGGGTCTCGAGTTTTTGAGGTTTAGTTTAAGGTTCGGGGGGTCTAGGATTGCATAGAGGTTGATGAGGGATCGGAAAAATCTAAGGCCTTGGTACACGTCTTTTATGCGGATGTTTCAGGGTCTTATGTGGTTTTGAAGTGGTTTCGATAGGGTGTCTTACAGCACCCCCGGCAAGGTTTTCACGCCAGTGGGACTTTCGCACATTAGCCTCAGAACTTTGGGAATGCGAAGGTTGAGAGCTTGAACTGTTGGGTGCGTTTTTGGACGCTGCTCTCTCTCTCTCTCTCTCTGCCGTTGCTTGGACGCTGGTCGAGAATGCACAATTTGTGCTCTGGATTAGAATCTATGATTAGAACGGATGACATGTGTCTGAGTTCGGGTATCCCACAATTACAATGGATCCATACATCGGGAGGAATTGCTCCCACCAAACCCATTTAACGAACCCCAAATGCCCACATCCCAGCATACAGAATCTGGAAAATGTCATCACCGATTGCCACGACCACGGTGAATAAGACCATGACAACAACACTAACTGCCGATCGAAGGCCAAGTGCTGGATCCAGCTCCAACACCCTGAACGTTTGAATTTTCGCAAAGACACCAGCTGGAAGAACCACATTCCGAAACCCAAAAACCAACAGAGCAAGGATGGCCAGAAGAAGAGCAATTGCAATGACAAGGAATCCTTAAAGCCCCCTGCGCAGATCCAAGGCGCCTCCATCAGCAACTCTAAGTCCTCTGGGCTTAGGGTTTAAGGGTTAAGGGTGTGCGTGGGGTTTACGGTATTGGGTTTAAGGGTTGAGGGTTTAGGATTGGGTTCTCTGTCTTGGGGTGCTCGGGCTCGACCAAGCTTAGCGAGATCCGCTTTAGAGAAGATGCCACGATACTGCTGAGAAAGGACAGTCCAGAGGAACACCCTTGTGGGCCGAAACGCTATCGTGGGGCTGTTGGGGCGAGCTGGGCTGCGGGGCAAAGATGATAATCGGGTTTAGAAGTTGCACAAAGACTATGGAGGCTTGGGTGTCACATACCAGAATAAATTTTAGTAGACCCTCATATACTATAAGATACTATAATATGATATAATATGCTATAATGTACTCTTGGGCTTTGGCCGGAGTGCCCGCTGGAAGTCGCAAGGGCAGATCCGATCCGAACGTGTCCCCCGCGCACCTAAGCTTGAGCTCAAAGAAACCCTTGGGCGCCTAGGAGACCTTGATGCCCTGCAGCCGAAACCCCCCTGCCTAAAACCGTAAACCTTGCACCTGAAGCTCCGAACCTTGCCACAAGGGCATGTGTGCCTTCAGGTTCTCCTCGAAACCTTGGTGAACGGCTGATCTAGTGCCGGAGGCGCCATTCTTTCGCATCAGGACTTGTACAATCGCCTGAGACTGATTACCACGACGCGCACAAGCGCCCTCAACCCTCAACACTACGTCCCACATAGCAGACATCCTGAGGCTTGCACGCCACTTGATGGCCTGCCAGCTTCAACCGCCGAGGCGTCCATACTATTCCGAAGAATCTGGCGCTGCTCCAATGCGCTAATGACCCAGAAAAGAGTCCATGTGACGCTCCCGCAGGCAGCCTAAAGCCTACAACCCTGAACCCTCAACCCTAAACCCTGAAACTAAGCCTGGCAGGCTGAACCCTCTGCTCCTCAAGCCGTCTCCCAGGTAGCCTTGTAGCCAATGACACGGGCGTGCTCGCTGGGATTCAACTCGCCCAGAAGCATCATCTTCATGCTGCACATGAGCTCCGTCTCGTTCCTTTTTTTTTGAAGTGGGGGGGGGGGTGGATGATGAGCAGCTGCTACGAACTACGAAGATTGTATTATGGCATGCTGCAGTATGTTGTAGTCGGTCTATGGAAGAAGAACAAGAAAACGGTACCCCACAGCTTCCGTCTGATTTATGCCAGCGTCCGTCCGTTCGCATGGTGCCATGCATAGAGGCCACTGTGCTGATAGATTTTGAAATCCGCCTCCCGCACCTGCAGCCAAGACAGGACGCAAAACACAGTAAACCCTGAACCCACCAAGCCCCAAACCCTAAACCCTGTGAGCCCGAAACCCTTTTTCCTGGAACCAGCTAACGCTTCGGAATGTGATGACGACCGCTGGCCACGGGACAAAACCTCCTTGGAAGGAAAAAAAACCTTCGCCCTCGGGTTTTGTCTGGACCCCCTTCAGGTAAGGGGGTCCAGACAAGAAGCCGTAAACTCCGGGTAGCAGCCTGGACCCGAAACCCTAAGTCCGACAGAAAAAAAGCAGCCAGGTCCCTAGAGCCTTATAGACAAAGGGAGCAGGGGGGTTAGGCCGTGAGCGTGCATCGGGCGTCCCCGAGAAGGGACAGACGGGCGAGGCGCTCGAATTCAAACCCTACCAGCTGCAGCTACTCCTGCCAAACTCTACACCTTCGGACCTTGTTCATGTCGTAGACGTCGGGCCACAGCATCATGTTCCCGCCTGCGCCGAGCGAGGATTCTGAAGGGCCTAGGGTTTAGGGGCTGAAGGGCGTTCAAAAGGTGCCGGGCCACCTTTGATGTCGTACCTTAACTGCAAGTTCCGCTCGACAGAACATCTTCAAGCTGGGGTTCGCATGGGTCTTCGATCAGGAACATTCCACACTCTTTCTTGCCCAGCAGCCCCGGAATGAGGTTCAACATGTGCAGTATGCTTGTAGAGCCGGTTCTCCCGGAGCTCACAATGAAGACGGCCGGGGTGCAGTCAGAGCTTGTACCTGCTCTGAAGCGGCAGAAAGACTTTGGGGTTTGGGCCTCCTAAACCCTAAACCCTAAATCCTGTGGCGAAAACGAAACACTCGAAATGATGATAGCACAAGGCAGCAGATCGCGACGACAAAGCCCTCGTGAACCATTGGAGTGCCACGAAATATACGAAGGTATACCAAAACATGCCAACATGCACCATAGTATACTATAACATACTATAACATGCTACACTATACTTTCACATACACTAATATATTACAAAAAACCATGATATGTTAGAATATACTATAATATACTACTATATAACAAAATATACTATTGCATTATCCTCTCCTTTGCAAGGTCGGTCCGACAACATCACAGCACCAAGCCAGGGGCAAAGCAGCTCGCGGCTTTGTTTGCTCCTGGGTCTTGGGATTGCGGGCTGTCCACGCTCAAGAGTGCAAGGCTTGGAATTTTTAGAGTTACTCTAGCAGAGCGCTGTTGGGCGGCTCTTGCGCTTTATGGTATGGGGCCCAGACCGAGAGCATTACGCGACAAGGCTTTGGCACCGTGCAAGTTTGAAGATTCTAAATAAATCAGCTCCAGCACAATCCAAACCCCTAAGCCTCTAAACCCCTAAACCCCTAAACCCCCTAAACCCCTAAACTCCTGAACCCCTGAACAAAGGAGCCCGGCCTTAGCCAGAAGCCCGACACCCTGCCCTAGCACCGAGACCTTACACCCGGAACCCACAGGTGACGATATACTATAGCATACCATAATATACTTCTTTTTTCTTGCCATATACTATCATATACCATCACAATATACCAGAATGAGCTATAATTCTGTAATATCCTAATATTGTACTAGAATGTACTAAAAATACACTGTTGCTGACACCTCAGGGCGTGGGTCCAAGGATTGAACTATATAGCTGTGGGCGGCTTGCGGCTTGGCTATACAAATGGCCACGAAAACCTCGAGAAAGCGGCGCATGGAACGAAACCCGAGGTAGCGTCAACTACATGTAGCAAATACACCAGTGTATACTGCCAGATAGTCTTACAGTATATACGATGATACAAACGAGCCCTGAAGCCCATCCTTCTATCGGCCACCAGATCCAGCCGACCCTGCAGCAACGTGGTCGGACCTTCAGAGGCAAGGGCTTTGCAAAGGTGGTGGTTCTGGGTTTGGGGCTTAAGAGGTTTGTAAGTTTAGGGTTTGGGGTTTAGGGTTTAGGGTTTAGGGCTTCACCGTAAGCCCTAACTGACAGGACCATGAACTATGAAGAGCTTGAACTCTCCCGGGGAGCACTGCTTGCGGCATAGGTTTTCGACTCCCACCCTTGCCAAGGCAGGCAAGGCTTCACGGGGCATAGGCTTAGGATTCAAGCTGAAAAATGCTATTGGTTGGGGACCTTATGGGTCGGCATAGTACAGTGGCATAAATATCCAGAGAACCCAATACCCCTTAGTTGAGGAATATTCCTTAAATGATAATAACAATGATAATAAGGGCCCCTTTACTTTAAGCTATATTCCTTAATTAAGGGGTATTGGGCAGTCGACCTCTCACAGCTCGGCTTGCCAGAACGATGTACCAACGGCAATGTGGGAGTGTTTCCAGGCTTAGGGGCCTTAATAATTAGAGTAGGGTTTTGGGTGTTCCTTATAATAATGATAGTATAATAAACCCCCAAACCCGATTCTACTTATGAAGGCCCTTACGGCCATCTTGATGCAGCAGGCCCTATCCCACGGTTCCTCTTTTGTAGGCTTTGCCCTGGGACCCTGTACTTTCAATTTCGGATCTCTCACACGAGGAAATGTCGACAATGTCGGCCATGTTCGAGTGATGTTCATAACATGGATATGGACCCATACCCTCTACATACCCTCTAAGTCAAGTGAATGAGCGGGATTTAACTTTTCGGAAACTCCCAAAAGAAACCCTGAACACTAAACCGATGGTCAGCACGGGTCGACTCGGTCCGGCACATTCGGAGGGCTCGCAATCAAGCACCTGCTACGAGCAGCTTGGAGCTTTATGGGGCATCTGGGATGAAATAATGATATGGTGAACCTGTAAAATGGAAATAAAAACCAGTACTACTGCTACTACTACGACGACTACAACCACGCCTACTACGACGACGACGACTACTACTACAATAACAACAAACAGACTTAAGAATAGGGTTCACGGTTTGGCAGCGACGGGCTCGACGATACCGACTCGGTGGATTTTTGCAGATCCCTACACTGAAGCCCCCAAACCCCTCAACCCTAAACCCCTAAACCCCTAAACCCCCAAACAAAAACCCCTAAACCCCAAACCCAAACCCCTGAACCCACACCCCCAAACCCCCTAAACCCTACACCCCGTGCCTGTGCCGAACAGGTGGCCCAGAACACGAAGAGCAGGGATCTGATCATCTGATCTGCATCGGCCAGCCTGGGGCCCGCCCCAGGGCTTGGGGGTTAGAGGACATCGGGTGTATGCAGGTCGGTAGATGGTAGGTCAATAGGTCGGTAGGTAGGTAGGTAGGTAGGTAGGTAGGTAGGCAGGCAGGTAGGGTGGGAGGGAGGTAGGTAGGTAGGTAGGTAGGTAGGTAGGCAGGCAGGTAGGTAGGTAGGTAGGTAGGTAGGCAGGTAGGTGGGTAGGTAGGTAGGTAGGTAGGTAGGTAGGTAGGTAGTTAGGTAGATAGGTCGGTACGTAGGTAGGTAGGTAGGTAGGTAGGTAGGTAGGTAGGCAGGTAGGTAG